ATCTCTCTCTCTCTCTCTCTCTCTCTCTCTCTCTCTCTCTCTCTCATTTTGCGCTTCAGGGGATTTCATCCCAGAGCGCTTAATGAATGACTATGTTTAGCAGAGAAAGCTGCTTTGCAACTGTTGTAAAATTCGTGAATCTGATCGGTATATGCTCTTAATCTTGACTAAATGTAAGATTATAACACCAGACAAACTCACAAATTTTACAACAGTTGGAAAGCAACTTTCTTTGCTGAACGTAACTAACAATTCTGTCTCTTTCTCTCTCTCTTTCTCTCTCTTCCTCCCTTTCTCTCTTTTGATAATCATCCAAATAAAATCCTCATTCGTACGGAGCTCACTGTCTGTTTCAGGGAAAACTGTAGAGTGGATGCACCCTATGTAAAAACCTATGCGACTTTAGGTTACTTGTAATTTGTCGTTGATATTAAATCTTGCATTTTGCATTTGAACATTCTCACGAGATTCAATTTCCACTTTTAATCCACTTTACTGAGTGCTCGCGTGTCCAGACCGTCGATCGCGGGGAAGTCTCGGTGATGATCAATGCAGTGACAGTGCGATGACAAGAGTCTTTCGGGAGAGGAGGGGTGAACGTAAAGTGTCTTTGACGAAACGAGCGCGCTCGTGGAACGCGAGAGAACCTGAGATCTCCAAATAGAACTCGCGCGCGCGCGCGCGGATCCGAGATCGTATCGGAGTGTTACGCGCGAATAAAAATTCGCTCGATGGAACCGATGGGAAACGAGCTGCGGCGCAAAACCGTTCGCCAATCTTCACATCGAGTCGCGAGTATCACGGCATACGGCCTAACGATTCGACTCGTTTCGAGCCCGAGGGAATCCGCGATGGATTTCATCGAGATCTCGGCTTATGATCAACGACGTAGTGTCTCTCTTGCCTTCCCCGGCGTTTAGCGCGCGGGATTATTCGATCTCCGTTGCTCTCGCGGCAGTACACTCTCAGTATGCGAGGTAGGCCCTGCTCGAAGGAAAAAACTGAAAGGGAAGGAAAGCATTCGCGAAGGAAAACGCATTCGCTAGGAGCTATTTGCGAGCAAAATAGGCAAAACGCGGAGAAAAAGCGCGCTATTGTTCGAAAGACAGCTGAAGGTGTAGCCTCCAACGTTGTTCGTAGACTTACGTAGAGTAGAAGAGCTTAGACGATGTGTCGTGACGACGAAGTAGCGAATTACAAAGTAGGATCGTGTCTTTCTCTTTCTGTGTTGAGTAAGTAAGTGTTCGGCAACACGCTCGTTGCGCGAGCAGCGTATTACATTATTGCGAATTCGAGCGTGCGGATTGGGAATTCATTGTGCTCTGTTCGACTTGGTATTTCGTGCAGACGCGTGCTCGTCGGGGTGCCAGCCAAACCTGAGCCCTTTGGCCGCTCCCCATGGTCGCGCTTTTCCGAGATACTCGTTTTCCCTGTCCCCTCGCGAGTAGCAGCATCTCGCGAGACTTTCCGTTTTGACGTGTCCCGGCTTATCGCGAGAATTACATGACGACGCAACGACGAATTGCGTCGTTCGTTCCTTGGAGAATTCCGCGGGAATTCCGTCGCGCGTCCTAAAATGCGCGCGCGAGTGTATCCCCTCGAAAAATGTGTCCCTCTTCTTCATTTCTTTCAGTTACCGCGAAAAAAAACACTATATCCCAATGTCCGACGCGTAACTTATAAGCGCATCGATGTGCACGTCCTCGTTTGATGACTTACTTGCTAGAGTTACCGCTAAGTGTTAGCGTTATTATACGCCGTGTCTTACGAGCGTTCGATATTAAAACTATTGACAAATTATCGTGACCTGATATATTTCATAAGTATCTAATCGCAGGTGTCTCACGTGTGTCACATGTTACGTTAGAGCCCGTCGCAATCGCCCCGTGTCTCAGTCAACTGAATCGATCTCTTCGCGTTGATCCTCACGCGAGCGAATTGACGGAAACGGGACGAGAAGGACGAGATCCTCGAGAATAAAATCATATACACGTCACGCGAATAGTTCCAAAGTCTCGAACTGGGCCCGCGGTTCTGCTACTGCCCCAGGACCTCCGACCCGGTGAGACGGTTAGACGTATCCTTATGTTAGGTAACGAAGAAGAGCACGCCATGTGGAAGTTCCGAGACAAAACGCGCTCGCGCAGAAGGTCCCATTCTATAACTGTAACGTCGGTGTCTTCTCGTGCGTAGATTTAAGATTAGAACGATACGTTTTCAGATATCGCGCTTGTGTAATCTCGGAAACGCGTTTGTCTCTCGCGTATCTTACGACGACGACTCCCCGGATCGTTGAACGGGCCGACTCCTCGTTTCCCTCGGCGGAGGAAAACGGATGATTCAATCAATTCGGCATTAGGGACGAAAGAACGATCGCCTAACCGCGCCGCGTTTTCCCGACGAGGAGTCCAAAACTGGGAACGAAGGAGGGAAAACCTTGAGGGCCTCGTGAATCTCCTCGCAACTGAAATGAATCGAATGTTCACCCCCTTCCCCTCTCTCTCTCTTTGTCTGTCTGTTTGTCTATCTCCCTCTCTTTCCCTCCCCATCTCGGTTTGCCTTGATGTAAAGATCTTCGGGATTATTCGGGAGTTCGAATTCTCTTTTTCTCTCTGATTTTCACCCGCAAGACGGCGTTGACGAAGAGAAGAACGGGACTGAGATCGAGATCGATTGCTCCGATCCGAGCACAACGAGTAGCGCGCGAGCAATGACGGTCTGGACACGCGTGCGTAATCATAAGGTCTCTAAAAGTATTCACGACGGTCGTACTGTTAATTCAGCAGCTCAACTTAAGTATCATAACGTTCTTACGATAGGTTAGTCGATAATGAGAGACTAGAGATAAAGACGCGTATGTCCCGCGCGATCTCGACAAGAAGCCATGAGTATAATACACTTGCCATACTGTGCGCAGTCGCTTTCCTTTCGTTCGCGCCGCCGGCGATCGCGAATCGCCGAGATCATTTCTCGATTCCGCCGCCATCCAGCGCGATTTTACTTGCACGCGCCACGGTCGGATCTCCGGCGAAAACACGACAGAAAACGAGGGAGAAAACTCGAGCCCGCTGGGGAAAACGCGCGAATTGTAATCAAGCAGGAGAGGAAACGGAGGAGCAAATCAAAATAAATGCCACACACACACTTTACTCTCGCCTAAGGAAGCCACGTCTGTGTAAATAATTTCCGACATCATCGCGTATCGCTTTCGAGAGAGAGAGAGAGTCTCTTGGAAAATATATATTCATCGCAAAAAAGATCTCGTCGTCGTCATCGTCGTCGTCCAACGAGGGGCGCGCGCGAGGCTTTTTTTCGCGAAAAGATCAGACAGGAAGGATCTCCTTCGCACATTTGATCGCGGGAGCCGGCGATCCGCCGGACGCTTCGCGTCGAGACGGTTACTTCTCGTTGTTTCTTTATTAAAGTTTATCACACTCGCAACGGATGATAGCGAGCGATGTTGTAGATTGTGAATTTCGGCCAGACTTCTTTCCAGTGAACGTAAAAGTCGCGCAACATCGATTCCGTGTGTACTATGTAATGATAATCGCGGTAAAACGGACGTCACAAGTTTTTCTTTTCATGTAAAATATTCGACAAATCGAAATCAACGTCCACATAATTGGCTATAGTTATGCAACAATGACCCAACCCACAAAATTATGATTTACAGGTACTGTATAAAACAAAAAAGACCCGAGCTTCATGGATGCCTAAAATTAATTGAAAATTAAGCAGGTTTTATTTTCTACTAGTTGCGTCTTTTTTGACCCATTTTTTAAATGGTTAAACTTGCCAGTGAATATTCTTAAAGAAAAAAGAATTCACCGTGCTTAATTTCTTGAACGTTTGCGAAGAACTCTCTCTTTATTATTATACTTTTATTTATTATTATTTATACTTTTAAGAGGATCCCATATTTGGAAACTTTATCGATAAAATACTGATTTTTTCTGCAAAGTTTACGCCGTATTGATTGCACACAATTGCAAATGCTTTTACACACTGAAAGTCGACAATAACGAATTAGAGTATTGCTCAAAATGTGACAAAAACGAAATATTTAATATTTTTAAATTGACATGCCGAGCTGTCAGTTGGCGTAAATATTTGCTGGATGCAAAAGTGCTGCAGATTGTACGTGTTGTAACGAAAATTGGTCAAAAAGTATTCTCGTAACATTACAACTGAATATGCTTCAAAGGATTAAACCATATATCAAAATTTTATCTTCATTTTCTTCGAAACGTACTCCATGTGGGTCGGATATCGGTGTATAACTATGGCCAATTGTACAGCATTATTCAGTCGCGACCGAATCGCGATCATCTCTTGACTTGCGAAAGCGTCCGCGGATCATTCGGCCAAGTTCAGCAAGGCACTTGGAAGAATGGCTCGAAAGACGAGCCGCAACCTTGAGCGCGTCCCTCACGCCGCATTTTGTATAACTTGAAATCGCGACGCATGGCTACATCGATTGCTCTTTTGGCATGCCACGATTGCGAGTTCACCTCGCGAAAGGTGATAGAGAGAGAGAGAGAGAGAGAGAGAGAGAGAGAGAGAAAGAGAGAGAGAGAGAGTGATTAATAATGTTCAACGCGACGCGCTCAGGAGCATCGGTGAAACATCTCGTTATTCGGACGTTGTCATCGGACGCGGTCGGAACACTTTTCGACGCCGCACATCGGGAGGAAGCGCAAAATTCTTTCGCAAACGCTCGAGAAATATTTCGATTATTTCCGGCAGAAACGGCGCTTAATATGAACAGACGAAATGTGATTAGTTCGCATCATTAGCGCGTATATTGTACGTAGACACGGGACGAGAGTTAGATACGAATAAGTGGAAAAAAGAAAACAAAACAAAAAGCTTAGAGTGTATCTTTCTATATAAAATAGTATGTATCGCTGAAGCATTATTATTACGTAACGAGAAATCGATTTGCACGAGTTATTCGTGTTTTTGCGAATTGCATCTCCAAAGAGAGAGGGGAGGAAAGAGTCGGCGAGATCCGGTGCCGTAATATACCGTAATTTGCATTGTGACGTTTTGCTTTATATA